TGGACGAGCGCTGGTTTGATGGGTGCCAGCACGTACCAACATCGGCACAGATGTTTTTTTTTCAGACAGGGTCTCAAAAATGTGAGTCCCAATCTTGGCTCTGTGCAACCTCCACCTCCCAGGTTCAAACGGTTCTCCTGCCTCAGTTTCCTGACTAGCTAGGACTACAGGTGCCTGCCATCATGCCCAACTTTTTGTATTTTGGGTAGAGACAGGGTTTCACCATGTTTGCCAGGCTGGTCTCAAACTCCTGACCTCAAGTAATCCACCTACCTCGGCTTCCCAAAGTGCTGGATTATAGAAGTGAGCCACCTTGTCCAGCCTATTTTTCAAACACAAGATTGTGTGTGGTGGGGGGGGTGTTACTTTTATTGATTGGGTTTTTGGTGTTTGTTTTATTTGTGCATGTGAACAAAAACAAATCACTACAGTTTTATAATACTTTCTACCTTATTTTTGTTATGTAGTGTCTCTCTTTAGTCTTGAATATCAACATTGGATACTACTTTTTTTTTGTTTGATAGAGTTAGACTTCTCAGATATTTTATGTTCGCAATTCCTAGTACACATTTTCTCCACTTTTGAAATCTTAAACATTTTTTTCTGTTCTTATGTTTTATATTCTAAACAAAAGATTATCTTTTAAAATCTAAACTGGTAATCTAGTATTTTAAATACACTTAGACTTCTGACATTTATTTTTATAACCAATATATTTGAACTTTTCTTCACCACCTTATTTTTTTCTTTATATCTTTTATATAAGCTTTCCTATGCTGCGTTTATATTTATATTTGTTTTCCTCAATTATTCTGATTTCACTGAATTTTATTAGTACTACATTCTCATTTTAATGGTATGAAAATTATAGATGCCATCTGTATTCTTATTTTCTTCATAAACTCAATAAAAATAAAAAGCTGAATTATTTCTGTAACATACCTTTTGATCATTTTACTAAAATTCATTAAGATTACATTAAAAATTAACATAATTGTTGCTTTTATGAGGAATACTATATGCAACTGTCTTACCAAAGGTATTCCAAACAAACCGAACTCCAGCATTCCAGTTATAGACCATTCCATTTGTTCCCATGAAGCAGTATTGTCTCCTAACCAATGTGCAGCATGTCTTCCAGATCCAGCAAATGTTGAGCGGGTAAGAATGAAGCCTCTCTTATTAGGGAAAACTTTTTGTACAGCTCTAAAAATAAAACCAAATTAATTAATAAAAATTATTTTAAAAAATAAAGTTGGCATTTAGATTATAAAATTTCATAATTCCAAGCCATGTGATATAGTTTGGCTGTGTCCCCACCCAAATCTCATCTTGAATTGTAACTTCCACAATTCCCACATGTTGTGAGAGAAACCTGATGGGAGGTGATTGCATTATGGGGGCAGGTCTTTCCTTCACTGTTCTTGTGATAGTTAATGAGTCCCATGAGATCTGATGGTTTTAAAGAAATGGGAACTTCCCTGCACAAACTCTCTCTTTGCCTGCTGCCATCCACATAAGATGTTACTTGCTCCTCCTTGTCTTCCGTCATGATTGTGAGGCCCCCCGACCATGCGGAACTGTAAGTCCAGTAAATCTTTTGTAAATTGCCCAGTCTCAGGTATGCCTTATCAGTGGCATGAAAATGGACTAATGCATTATGTCATAATATTTATAATACTTATGTCAAAATTACATATCAATTTTATATGTCACTACTAACATTTACTTATTTAAATATATTCTGGTAAAATATAGTGAAAGGGAACTTTTAGAAATCACTAAATTTTGAATGACTCCAATCATCCTTTACCAAATTAAATAAACATGTGCATTTGGTATCCACTCAGCATTTGTTTTTGAAATATATGATTTAAACTAATTGAATTCCCTTATAAATAGAAAATATTATACCTGAACTTGAACCCAATACACTTTTTGTAGTGTGGTGACTCCAATTATATATTCATTTCTACATCTTCAAATATTAGCAGACAAGGTAGGGATAAAAAGTATTTAAGAGGGTTTTGTTTGTTTGTTTGTTTCTAGAAGTTAACCACTGTCCACAACTACAAGCATCACTCATGTTACACAACTATTATTTATAATGTTTTCATAATTGGAAGCAATTAGGAAATGGGTAACTATATTCTCAAGTGCTTTTCCATGTTATAATCTTTATTATATTGAAACACAGCCTATTTTTTCTTTCCTAGGATATATTAAGTTAAACACCGCTACATGTAATACTCTATTGAGTTTACAAAGTAAATTAACACCATGAAGACAGTGTTTAAGAGTTTGAGTATCAGTATGATTTAGGACCAGAAAAATATAAATTTGAAAAAACACTCAATCATAACTGTTTAATTATGAGAAAATCGTAAGTATATTGAAAACAGTATTGGGTTTATTGACTATAATATCACAGGACCATAAACGATGCTTGAAAATTAGCAGATAATGAACATATTATTGTTTTCTTCTTTTGTTTAATATCATATTTTATAAAAAATGTACTAGAATATTACTTAGAAGGATATTAATTAGAAAACTATGTTTTAATTAAAAACATTCTTTTTGAAAAATAGTTAAAGACCTGTTCCTGGGGCAATATTTTCCCAGGTCAGTTGTGAGATTCAAGCTTAAAACACAGTTATATTCAGAAATGGTAAAATTTTGAAGGATAAAAGGATAATTTAAATCTAGGAGTTAAAATAAAGGGTCTCAGTTAAAAATATATATATATATATATATAAAATACATATAAATAGTCAATTTTTTTTTTTTTTTTTTTTTTTTGAGACTGAGTCTAGCTCTGTCGCCCAGGCTGCAGTGTAGTGGCACGATTTCGGCTCGCTGCAACCTCCGCCTCCCGGGTTCAAACTATTCTTCTGCCTCAGTCTCCCAAGTAACTGGGATTACAGGAGCCCGCCACCTCTCCCAGGTAGATTTGTATTTTTAATAGAGATGGGGTTTCACCATGTTGGCCAGACTGTTCTCAAACTTCTGACTTTAGGTGCTCTGCCTGCCTCGGCCTCCCAATGTGCTGGGGTTACAGGCGTGAGCCCCCGCACCCAGCCTACCACGTCATTCTTAATAAATGAGTCCCAAATTCACGAATATTAGTAAGAGAACTGATATTATGAATGCCGTAACTTTTCAGCAGGCATAAAATGTTATCTTTCTTTTTCTTAACCTTACTATTTCCTATTAATACATTGATAAATTATCAAAAACTTTAAAAAAAAATGAAAGAATTATTTGAATGCAATTTCACTTACTGCTCTGTAGCTATAGCCATGCTGTATCCATAGAGGCTATGAACATCATACTGTTTCCCCCAGTTCTGCACAGCATCCATGCAAATTGTTTTGGAATACATGAGTTTGTCAAGAATATCTTTGAGAAAATACATAAGAAACATTTCTTATATTTTTCCATTATAAACATTATAATGTATATTTTCCATCATAAATGTTATATCCCATTTCATTTGTGCTATGAAATTCCATACTTGGTCGAAAATGATGAAAAAGGACAATTCAGTTAAACCTAAACTATGTTCCAATTAGATCCTCATCTTTCACTCTTGCTAAACTTGGATTAACTATTAGATTTATATTTACATTGGTAAACACTCTGTTTTCTAACTTCAATAACAAAATAGCCTTTAACAATATAGAAATATACCTACACCCAACTATATTGTACATCATATATTTATGGACCCATTTTAAAGCCTTATAATAGATTAGTCTATTTTAATACAATCTTAGGCAGAGAATATTTGGCTGAAGAAAAAATAAACAAGTTGATTTTATGGTTTTAAAACTATACCAAAAATTGTAATTTAGAAATATATGCTAGAAATTACCAGCAAAACAGAAAATTATTCTAAATTAAAACAGTAATTAGATAACCAAATAAATTTTACCAGGAGTAAAAGGTGGATAATTCAATTTGTTGGCATTGCATCCTTTTGTTGAACCTTGAATAAAGCTGGAAACTTCATTCATGTCCTGAATGGATACAAAATGAAGAACCGCAGATTTTACATAATTATAAATCCTATTAGCAGAAACTCTCTAGTTCTTTGAAAATGTTTTATATAGGATAACCATAATGCTCATTAATTCCTAGAAGATAAATATAAGCTAACAACCTAAAAATAAACAGAATGCCTGTATCAGATAAGTATCTTAGATGGGATAGAGAGATTTTAAACAATCAAAATGTAGTTCATGTATCTAGTTTTGATTTTATATATATATATATGATATTACTTATAAGTATTAAGTCATTTCCAAATAGCTGTTAGTCTTCTCATTATGAGTCCATTATTATACACATTCTTTGCATATCCATTGAGTCAATGTATTTTGTTTCATTTAACCTTTATCTAGTTTCTATGATGCGCTAAGCACATTGCTAGAGGCAAAATTTGCCTACCAACAGCTCCTATACACTCATAAAAGAATGAAAGTTTTAAAAAGGCAAATAGACTTTAGTGTTTTAATTAAAATAGTTATGGCCTCACAGAATCTCTGAAACACTCAGGGAAACCTAGGTCAGCACGATCACACTCTGAGAACCAAGACCTAAACAGCTCTTGAAGAAATAGTGGTGGGATATTATGTTCATGGATTTTCTAGCCATTTTAACACAGGCCCCAATCTTGTCCCACTACCTACTAGCTGTGTGACCATAAACCAGTTAAGTCTTTGCACTAAAAAAAATAAATTTTATAAAATCATCTATTACCAAACATATACTCAAGAAATACGTGTTTTGTCTTTCTTCTCTGCAAACTGTGTCGAGGACTTCTATAAGCCTTGTTTTTCACATCTCTATAATAAATTGTCTCCTTTCATATAAAGGCATCACATTCAGTCACATCCTTGTCTCTCTGGTAATTTTACTTCACTCAGAAAAAGTAGATTTTCTTAATTACATTTCCTTTTCCCCATCTACATCATGCCCATATTTTAAGACTCGCTGCTTTTCACCTTTTTGAATCCTTCCCCTCTTATTTCAGCTTTCAATCCTCCCTTTAACCTTAACACTCCTATATTAACTTTGCAATCGTTAAACCTATCTTTTATACTGCTTTCTGAGACTCCCCAAATAGATAATATTTATCAACAGATTAGAAAAGATCTGAGACTGACGGTGTCACTTAAAGACACTAATAAAATAATTTTAAAAATGTAATGGTGAATCATTTGTATTATAGTTAGACATTTCTTTCATAAAATTATAACTACAACTAGACTGATTTAGTTCGCAAAAGCTTCCCTAAATATTGAGTTCTTCTGACCGAAGCCCACTCAATATGATTATTCAATTCTGTTATTCTCAAAATATTCTCATAAAAGTGTCTAGACTGTGGATATAAAAAGAAGCTAAGGAAATTTGATACATGGAATTGAAATGATAAATTAATGGTGCTCAAGGGACAAAACAATAGATTTGTTATCATGACAGATTTAAATGGTATATATTTCCACTTCCCAAATGTTTTCAGAGTAAGCAGAAATGAGAGAAATTAATATAGTTATTCCGAAGTACAAAATACCTAAAGCTACATTGAGTTATTTTTTTGAAATTGTCTGGAATGTTATATTCAATTTTGTTTCCTATGTCCAGTAGAAATTAATAATGGTATATACAGCAAATAAATGTAGGTAAACTTCATTTTTCTTCATGATTCCATCAATAAAATTCAAGTTTTAAAAAACTGCTACTGAAATGTATAATTTGGAAATAGTGAGCTGCATTATTTTAAATTTTAAGAGTCCTTTTCTAAACAATTTTAACATCCGGATATATCATATAGTTGAGGAATTACAAGGGCAAAATACTCAACTATGATATTAATATCATTTCTATTTGAGCTACATATGTGTAAATTTGCCATAAATTTCACAAAATCTTTCATCACTGAAAGTAAACATTATTATGTAATTTAAGGATGAACAAATTTTTTTAGAAAAAAAATTAATTGGTTTTACTGAAAATAATTGACAAAAATATTTAAAAGTTTTATTTTACGACCATTTTTACATGATTGAATCAGAATGTGATTATTTTGCCAACTCACAATAAAAGGGAAAATAGTTTTTTGAACCAATAATATACATTTTTAGCCTGCTGAGTCAAAAAAATAACATTTTTCATAATTTTAACCATATTTTACATAAAACATGCCATTTAATATTTTAGTAACTTTCCTTAAATATGTCTAAAGTATGTCTATATAGCAAGACTGTATTAAATTAAACTTACTACACATATTTTAAAAGAATTTATCTATTGTACTGTATTTTTAAGTGGCATTTTGAAAATTATAAAAGCACTTTAATTCTCTAACATATCCAAATGATTTAAGTGAAACTATAGTTATTTAATATTAGATACCAGTGCATTAAATTAACATTTTTAATATTACAACAAGTAGATTTGGAACATTGTAGTCATGAGGCAAAAGCCTCAGTAGACTGATAGTAATAAGCACATCTAAAGTTACGTAGGTGTCATTCAAATCATGTTAAGTCTATTAAAAACTATTTTTTGAGGCTGAGGCGTTACCTACCAGCCTGGCCAACATGGTAAAACCTTGTCTCTACTAAAAATACAAAAATTAGCCGGTCGTGGTGAAGTGCACCTGTAATCCCAGCTCCTCGGGAGGCTGAGGCAGGGAGAATCTTTTGAACCTAGAGGACGGACGTTGTAGTGAGCCAAGATAGTGCCACTGTACTACAGCCTGGGTGACAGAGCAAGACTGAGTCTCAGAAAAACAACAACAACAACAAAAATTGTCAACTTTGTTTCTGAGAATGTACCTCAAGCTTCTTTAAAATTGCTTGAAAATTGTGATAGTATTCTGATGGCATTTTATACTCACATTTAAACTAAATCTAGATAAATATAGCCCTGTTTTTTTAAAAAAAAATTGTAAGAGAATTTCATTTTTATAAGAATTACATGAAATGTAGAAAGAATATAACCAAATACGCTTCTAGCTATTTGGATATATAAAATTATTTGGACATATCTTCTTAATAAAATTTATGTTTCCAAATACTATGCATTAAATTATTCAGTTTTTTCATTGAATAATTTTTCTTATTAGATTTTTAAGAATAGAACCAAAATAACAACATGATATCAAAACATGCATATGTATTCAAAAAATGGAAATGATATTTTAATTTTTAAAATATTGACTAACACTTTTGTTTTGAAATCATAGCTTTGGTCTTAAGTATACTAAGTACAGTAGGCTTTTGTTTCTCAACTATTAGGGAATTATCTCTCATAAAAAAGAGAATTCAAATTTATTATATTGTATACACAAAAACAATATTTCAATGACAATTAAGCTCACATCATTTCCCAAAGTGATTTTAATATTTAAACTTAAAATTCACAAATATTAGCATGGAACTAAACTACAAATCTAGTAAATTGTAAAACTATTTTTATACTTGACATAAATCTAAAACTTTATCAGTTGAATAACAACTTGTTTTAGCTGGATCAGAAACAATAATCCAAAGAAAGTGAAATAATTAGATAAACTGCTTAGCAGTGTGATATGGCAAGTATTTAACTAATAGCTAGAAGTAAAATATCCACTGTTTATCCATGATATGTATTAGTTCACTGAAGTTCATTGATCTTTGAAATTGCACTGCTTTTTATGTTGTGTTTTTTTGTTTGTGTGTTTAAGGCTTAGTTACAATGCTTCTGTATCAGTGTTGGAAATACTCTGCCTTTCTCAGATAACCTTCTCTCCCACACTTTGGAGGTCAATCAGGAATTTCAGTTTTCAATGAATGCAAGAAATGCAATATTCTGTCTTTCTATAACACAATCAGGCTCTGTCTCACTATTCCTACAGTATTATTTATACTTGCAACTTTGCTGTAATCAAAGTGGCTCCTACCTAGGAAAAAAAATAAAAGACTTAAGAAACTTTCAGTATCAGTTAAATAACACAAGAACTAGAACTTAAAATAAAGCTCAAGATAACAGTATTTTTTTTATTTCTACCAATTGCTGGTTATTAGTGGTGTGATATCAGTGATTTTATGTTAAATAACTGAAGCCTTTTCATCTTCTTTTTGTTACTGCATCATAGAGTTCTGAAAATTATGCTAACCCTTTACCCAAATCCCATATTGTCAGCAGAAAACAGTAATTTTTCCATCTTTGTAGTCCCAACAACATGTCTGATAGACATGATGTGCAAATAAATATTTGCTAACTAAATGATTGATTGATTAATAAATAAGGGAATAATTCAGAATAACGAGCTGAATCAATAATGAGCACCTAAGGAAAATAGAGATGGTGTGAACCTAAAACACCAAAAAAATATAGCCATCACTATGTGTCCCATTATGCGTATTTTTCAAAATTTATACTCGTTGTAATTTAGTTTCCATGCCTAGGCAGCAGGCCTTCAATAACTACAGATATACAGCCTTCATTAAAGAACTTTAAACACTTGTATTTTTTTTTTTTTTTTTCTTTTTTGAGACAGAGTTTCACTCTTGTTGCCCAGGGGTGGAATGCAGTGGCACCATCTCAGATCACTGCACCTCCACCTCCCGAGTTCAAGCGATCCTTCCCTGCCTCAGTCTCCAGTGTAGCTGGATTACAAGCTGTGCCCCAAGCCCGGTTAATTTTGTATTTTTAGTAAAGACGGGTTTCACGCATGTTGGTCAGTGGTCTCGGAACTCCTGACCTCAAATGATCTGCCCACCTCAGCTCCCAAAGGTGCTGGGAATTACATGCATGAGCCACCATGCATGACTGTATTTTTCTTTAATATTTTATGAGCAAACTAGGATTCTCTTTTTGTGCTTTTTTTAAATACAGTAATACTTAACCTATTGCCAATTTTTATTTGTTCTGTTCCATAGCTACTAAAGAGAAGGTCTCTAAAGGACAGGGGCTTATTCAGATCATATTGCTGGCTGTTGCTTGGACTGTTAAAAAACTGTAATAAATGTTTTGCTAATTGATAAGCAATAGGTTATCACCAAATCTTATTAACTAATTTTTGGGTAAATTATACACATTAAAGAACAAAACCTCTGGATACAGAAGTAAATTTATTCTATAAAGTGTATTGCTAAAAAAGAAAACCTTAATTTGGCATTTTTTCCTTATCTTATGCACATGATGGGTATACCTATATATTCTAGGAAAAAGACATTATAGTAGTTTAAAATTTTATGTTTGAATACATCAGAAAAATTATATTTGCTATTTAGTAATTTTTACAGATTAAATAATTCTACAGTTATGACCAAAATGTTTGGTTTAAAATAGCTACTTACAATCCAAAGTCCATCATATTGCACTTCTGATGGAAAAATACTGCATTCATTTTGCCCACCAATCAATGCAGTTTGGTTAGTGAAATCAGGGTATACTGTTAATCTGGCCATACCTAGAAGAATAGATCATTCACATATATACATAAAAAAAGAGAACAATAGAATCAATGGAATTCAAAGTAAAAGAAGTTGAGAATAGTAAAAAATTAAAGTTATTCTACTTCTTCGTATATATGACTGCAATACATTATCTAAATTTACAAGAATATCATGACTATTTAAAACACATTTAAAGGAAGAGCAGTAAAAAGAAAGTGAAATATGAGCATTTAGGAAGAAAAATTATCAGAACATGGCATAAGGCTGCTATTTTAACTGTAAATTTGTTTTTGAGCATCCTTGTAGGATAGCTTAATAAATACACAATAAATATTCTATATAAATATATTTTATATCCCATAAAATTAAACACATTAGCTATTGTCCAAAGCGCATATGCCTCCAAGAAATTTTTTAAGTGTCTTTATGTTTATTTTTTATGAATAAACATGAATATGATACATACTGGGCACTATTTCAAGTACTCTCTCATAATTACTAACATAATACCCATTAGACAAGAATTTTTGAAACAGGTATATTTTTATCACCACTTACAGATGAGGTAGGTACTATAATTAAAGTCATTTTGAGATACAGAAGTAATACAGAGAAGTTAAGTAAGTTGTTCAAAGTCAAACCACTAATAACAGGTATAGCAGCAATTTAAGCCCAAACACCTCTACATCTGAGTCATGCTGTTAACACTGTATGTATTATGCCTGTCTTTTTCTGATTTATGCTTCTTGAAATTATTTTAATATTATTTTACTTATTACTTACATAATAACATTAGCCAGCAGAATTTAATTTTCAGATAAATTGAGCTAAATTATATTGTTTTGTATCCAAATATTTCAAATTGGCTGTCTGATCTGTCCATAAGGAACAAGCTGGTATTAACATGTATTCTGTGAAATATCAATTAAGGGTAAGAAACTGCGTGAGTTTTCTTTTTTTGAGACAGGAGTTCATAATTATTTAAAAGACTTTCACCAGAAACTTTAAGTTGGATGAATGTGATAAGAATGAAGCTTACGGCAGAGAGACAGAAAAAGATGGCTGAAAAGAAGCCTCCAATGACCGTTCCCCTGCAAAAGCACCAAATTGAACAACTACTCCCACACACAACAAAACACCTTCTTAAGAACCAAATTCACACGAGTGATCACAGTACCTGATTTTAGCATCATATCAAGGGAAGACTCATTGAAGAGGGTAGGAAAGAGAGTCTTGGAATGCATGCACCACCCCTCTCACATTCCCCAACAGTGTCCATGGTGCATGGAGGGAGAATCTGTGCACATTGGGAAGGGACAGCAAAGCAATTGTGGTCTTTTGCATTGGAACTCAGTGTTGGCCTGCCACAGCGGAAAGTACAAAGGGGCAGAAATCAGCTGACACCCATAGATGGAGCCTTTAGAACAGCCCTAGCCATAGACTATGAGTCTGCAAGAGTCATGGCATTATTAGGCTTTAGGTGCCTCCTAAAGCAGATACAGCTGCAGTTAACAAAGACTTAGATCACAAAACCCAAGTCCCTTAGAATACCTGGAAAGCCTATCAATAAGGATGGGCAAAAACAAGCCCACACTCTGAAGACTACAATAAATACCTAACTCTTCAATGCCCAGACAATGACAAACATCCACAAGCATCAAGACCATCCAGGAAAACATGAACTCACAAAATGAACTAAATAAGGTACCAGAGACCAATCCTGGAGAGACAAAGATATGTCAACTTTCAGACAGAAAATTTAAAATGCTGTTTTGGGGAAATTCAGTGAAATCCAGGATAACATGGAGGAGTTCAGGGTTCTATCAGACAAATTTAATGAAAGGATTAAAATAATTTAAAAGAATCAAGCAGAAACTCGAGCTGAAAATTGCAATGGACATACTGAAGAATGCATCAGTCTTTTAGTAGTAGAATTGATCAAGCAGAAGGAAGAATTAGTGAGCTCGAAGACAAGCTATTTGAAAATACACAGTCAGAGGAAACAAAAGAGCAAAAGAATAAAGAAAAATGAAACATGGCTACAAGATGTAGAAAATAGTCTCAAAAGTGCAAATCTGAGTTATTGGCCCTAAAGAGGAAGTAGAGAGAGAGAGGTAGAAAGTATATTAAAAGCGAAAATGATAGGAAAATCCTAAACTTACAGAAAGATATCAATATTGAAGTACAAGAAAGATACAGAACACTAAGAAGATTTAACCCAAAAGAGACTACCTCAAGACATTTAATAATTAAATTCCCAAAGGTCAAGGATAAAGAAAGAATGCAAAAAGCAGCAGGATAAAGGAGACAAATAACCTACAAAGGAGCTCCAATATATCTGGCAGCAGACTTTTCGGTGTAACTTTACAGGCCAGGAGAGAGAGTCGCATGACATATTTAAAATGCTGTACGAAAAAAATATATATTTTTTTAGCAAAGTATATATATTTCTAAAATATCCAATGAAAATATCCTTCAAACCTGGAAAAGAAATGTAGCCTTTCTCAAGCAAAAGCTGAGGGATTTCATCAACACAAGACAAATCCTATAAGATATGCTAAAGAGAATTCTTTTAGTCTGAAAGAAAAGAATGTTAAGGCCGGGCATAGTGGCTCATGCCTGTAATCCTAGCATTTTGGGAGGCCAAGGCGGGCGGATCACGAGGTCAGGAGATCCAGACCATCCTGGCTAACACAGTGAAACCCCATCTCTACTAAAAATTAAAAAAAAAAAAAAAAAAATTAGCCGGGCGTGGTGGCGGGCACCTGTAGTCCCAGCTACTCTGGAGGCTGAACCAGGAGAATGGAAAAACAAACAAACAAACAAACAAACAAACAAAACAGAAGTTAAGGACTAAAAAAAGAAATTATGATACAAAACTGACTGGGAATAGTAAGTACACAGAAAACACAGAATATTAAAACAATACATTTGTGGTATGTAAACTACTTGTATTTTGAATAAAAAGATTAAAAGTCATATTTATAAAAAATAGCTACAACCTTTCAAGACAGACTGTATAATAAAATATAAATGGAAACTGAAAGTTTAAAAAGCAGGAGGATGAAGTTAAAGTGTAGAGATTTTATTAGTTTTCTCTCTGCTTGTAAGTTTGTTTATGCAATCAGTGTTAAGTTGTCATCAGCTTAAAATAGTGAGTTGTAAGATACTATTTGCAAGCATCCTGGTAACTTCAAATCAAAATAACTACAACATATACACAGAAAATAGAAAGTAAGAAATTAAAACACACCACCTAATAAAATTGCCTTCACTAAAAGGAAGACAGAAGAAAGGAAAGAAGATAGAGACAACCATAAAACAACCAGAAAACATGTAAAAATAGCAGGAGTAAGCCTTTACTTATCAATGATAACAATGAATGTCAATGAACTAAATCTCCAATAAAAAGATATAGAACAGCTGAATGGATTAGAAAACAAGATCTAATGATCTATTGCTCACAATAAACACACTTCACCTATAAAGATGCACAGACTGAAAATAAAGAAATGAAAAGAGATATTCCATGCAAATGAAACCATAAAAGAGCATGAATAGCTATACTGATATCAGACAAAATAGATTTTCAGACAAAAAAATTAAGAGAAAAAGAGCATAATTATATAATAACAGGATCAATTCAGCAATGAATGTATATATATATCACACATATAGCACACATATATATATGCGTATATGTATGCATCAAACACTGGAGCACCCAGATGTATAAAACAAATAACTAAATAGATAAATAGAACTCAATGTAATAGGGCTGGAGATTTTGACACCCCTTGTTCAACATTGTACAGATCATCCAGACTGACAGAAAACTAACAAAGAAACATTGTCTTTAATCTTTATTATAAATTAAATGGATCTGATAGATTTTTACAGAATATTGTAACCAATGGCTACAGACATTCTTCTCTTAAGCACAGGAATTATTCTCAAGGGTAGACCATATGTCAGTTCAAAAACAAGACTTAAAATATTTTTTTTTAATTGAAATTATATCAAGTATTTTCTTCCACCACAATGGAATAAAATTAGAAATAAATAACAAGAATAACTTTGGAAGCTACATAAAAACATGAAAATTAAACAATATGCTCATTGAATAAACATTGGGTCAATGAATAAATTTAGGAAAAAATTTTACAAATGTCTTAAAACAGCTGATAATGGAAACACAACGTACTAAATATATGGGATAAAATGAAAGCAATGCTAAGGGGAAAAATTATAGCAGTAAGTACCTACATTAAAAAAGTTGAAAAACTTTAAATAAACAACCTAATCATGTGTCTTAAAGAACTAGAAAATCAAGAGCAAACCTAACCCAAAATTAGTAGAAGAAAAGAAAAAATAATGATCGGAGAAGAAATACATGAAATTGAAAAAAAAAAAAAGTATAAAAGAGGAACAAAATGAAAACTTGTTTTTTTTGAAAATATAAACAAAATCAAATAACCTTTAGCTAGACTAAGAAAAAAAACAAGGCCCAAATAAATAAAATCACTGATTGAAAAGGACACATTACAACAGATAACACAGAAATGCAAGTAATTTTTAGAGGCTACTATGAGAAGCTATATGCCAATAAATTGGAAAACCTAAAAGAAATGCATAAATTCCTAAACACATACAATCTACTAAGATCAAGCCATGGAGAAATTTATCTGGTATATCTTTACATTTTACATGACTTCTTACAAGAACTGTTTTATAAATTCTTTGATTATTTTCTTCGTCTAATGTTTTCCTCCACAATTAAAATACAAAATTCAGACTTGAAAGCAGATATACACACACACCTGCGCGAGCGCACACACACACACACACACACACACCCACACAAAAACCACAGCGTCACAGAAAAAAAAATGAGAGACACAAAATTAAAAAAAATATATTACACCTCCAAAAAAAGGGGTACACCCACATCACACACATATACACACACATGGTGCACATCCCCCCTCACAGAAGACACATATGGTGCCACAGCCACACCGACACATAGAAAAAGCACAAGACCAAAAAAAGAAAAAAAAAAAAATACAAAAAAATATAAAAACACACACATGTAGAAACTAAAAATGTATTAATGTATAATTGATTATTACCAAGATGATGACATATTTCTGCCCATAGTTATGCAAATCTTGCACAAATTGAGGGAGTCCGTTAAATGCAACTTGATCATAAGTAAAGTCTTTCTTGTCTTCCATGTAGTCAATATCAGTGACCTGTGTATCCTGAAAGTTAGAAGATTGTATTTCAATACATAGTACTGAAAGAGCTCTCAGTCAGGTCAATCTTTAACTCCAATGAATGTGTATTATAAACATAATCTTTAAAAAATAAATGAACATCCATCGTTTTCATTTCACTAAAGAAGCAATTGTATTGTTTGTAAAACTGGTTTTTCTAATTATTAAGTACAAAAGCATTAAGTGATTATTCATATTTTTCAGTGATAATGACTAGATATGCATTGTTTTTATATACGTAGATTTCAATGCACAAAAATCAAAAACTTACACATTTCAGCATTTTTTGAAAATATATAGATTCTAAAATTAAGTTTTATTTTTAAAACTAAAAATGGTTTTGTTTACAGTGGAATATGTATTCTGTTCTAGTATAACTAACAATCGGTACTTCAAAAGCATATATTTGTACTTTCAGGAGGCAAGGGCATTACATATGAGATAAAATATACTTTACAGTTAAAAGGTAGCCTTGTAATTATATTATATAATGTATATAGTAGATATTCGTGACAATTTCCTATAGCTATTATTATGTGACAATATTTAACTCAAGTTATATATTCCCACGAACCCTTCATTCTACTTACAAATGGTATGCCAGCTTCTCGGTTTCTCCTTACCACTTCTTTCACTACATCTAGTGATTTATAATTCCAGCGACTTAGTTGGAATCCAAGACTCCAATAGGCTGGCATTGCTGGTAGTCCAACAAGCTTAAAGTAAATGAGAATGTAATTAGTTTGAGTAGAAAAAAATATAGTTAGCATTAATAACCAAGGTTAATGTGCCTTTTATTTTCTTATATCTCTAATATTCATTTAAGTTTATATAACTTAAACAAACAATTAGTGTTACCTGGTTTCTAAACAATTTCCTATTCCATTTGAATGTGTTATGAAATTTTTAACAAGTTTAAGTCTTATACTTGATGTTTTAGTTTGTGCTTAAAAATTAGAAAGTGCAGCATACCAAAAAGGAGCATTTGCCGAGATATGTTTCAAGTATTGCAGAAAGTTAAATAAGAGAATACAATAAAAACAACAAATAAATGATGATAAAAGGGAAAATTTTCCACCACCATCCTATTTTCTATTACAAGTCACCATATAAGAAAAACAGAAAAAATGTTTGAAAGTACAGAATTTCTGTTTCCCTACATTTTAGCACTTATCTATCTCCTGGTTTGCAAAAATGTTAATAAAATATATGTTCTGCAGTCCTCCCACCCAGTTATTGCATAGACTCTTTCTTATTCACATGCAGTGCCTCAGCTTCATTTCTTCCTCCTGGGGGCAAATGGATTGCCATCTCTTCCTATTTCTGTAGTGGCCCAAGCAAGTTCAGTGCAAGAGAGTATCAGTGTCACACTACAACGGATGATATAATTTTGCACATGGAAATTTGGATGTAACTGGTGTTATTTTTTTCCACTAAAAACTGAGTATTAGGATATATGTGATGCATAATCATACTTGACATAAAATTTTTTCTTTGGTTTAGGCATATATATATATATATGTATAGGATCCATGATTTCTAGGTAACAATCAAGAAATTACTCATGTTGGGTTATTGTTTTCTATTCAAATGAAATACTAAACCTATTTCAAACTTGGTATCAGATAAACCTTATATCAAATAAAGCTTTCAAGAATTAGTATTTTTTATACCATACTCCTAAACACCATATGTCCCATAAAATTAAGGATTTAGACATGTGAGTGAAATTTCTTCTTATATATGTGTGAAGAATCAACATATATGCTGACATAAATTTCTTCTCATATATATGTGAAGAATCAGCATATATGTAACAATACTTTTTTTGAAATAGTTTGACATTCTGCCGACTTTACTCAACATGTGGGAGATAGCTATGCCAACTGATGTTTGACAGTTGAAATGTCAAAGAGTAGTGTTTCTCCCTCTTGTTCATGTGATAACCACACACAAAGTCTATATGTAGACCAGCCTAGAACTGTAATTATGATTTTATATTAGAGAGACTGTAAATGTTGTGTGTTTCTTTTCTAAATTTTACATTTATAAACATAAATTTGGGAATGATTACACATTGTAAATGATTAAACAGCAAAAAACCCTAGCTACTCTCATTTCAGATTTTTGGATCCTAACTTTAAAAGTTTTTTATAGTAATCATCCTTTGAGATCATTTTTGCAAATAGGAATTTTATGTCAAAAGGTATATCAAGAAAATAAGATTTTAAAAATAGGCATAATCTTTAAATCTTATACCAATGAAAATAATTTTCTTTTCCATTATAACACCAGGAATCATATATATCAACAGTTAGAAGAGAGAAATTACGTGCAAGTTTTAGAATCATCTTCAGTGTAGGTCCTGGATTCCCCAGCTCTCTAAAGCCCATATTGAGCTCTGGTATACAAGATGTTACTTAATATATAAATAAGAGTTGCTTAGACAGTAACTTGAGATGTACAGTTTCAGACTAGGTTTCAAACTCAACCCTCTGAAGGCCCCAGGATAGGAGTCAATTTTCCTGGAGTTTACCTACTATGAATTTATTATTATTTCATTTGAATAGAAAACAATAACCCAACATGAGTAATTTCTTGATTGTTACCTAGAAATCATGGATCCTATACATATATATATATATATAATGCCTAAACCAAAGAAAAATTTTTATGTCTAGTATGATTATGCATCACATATAACCTAATATTCAGTTTTTAGTGGAAAAAAATAACACCAGTTACATCCAAATTTCCATGTGCAAAATTGTATCATCTGTTGTAATGTGACACTGATATTCTCTTGCACTGAACTTGCTTGGGCCACTACAGAAATAGGAATTTCTAAATTCATCGGTTTTCCCACAACTCAGTTACCTCTAGGATTTTGACCAAAAGGATATATGACCTCTACATTTATTGCCTATTCTCAGTGTTAAATAAGATCGTTCCTTTTGCTTTACTCCATCATATAAAGTCATGAATAAGTAAATATTTAATATTCAAAATCTCAATGAAATCCAATTATCGAACTCAGCTGCCTAGAAGCAAGAAATTTTGAATTCAGAAACATAGAAACTTGAGTACATATAGAGTTCATTGGGAAAAGCAAAAACCACCCAGCTGCATCTTAAATATGTTAAGATTTTCAAAAACATTTAGCTAAGAGGCCCCTAATATGTAAAATAAAGTCATCTAAATATGAGGTCATATTAGATGAAATAAAAGTATGCAGAAAAAATTTTATAAAATAGACCTGAAACACACCTGTTGATACTGTTGAACTACTTGTTCCGGTGTATCTCCTAGAAAGATGTAAAAATCCAGAATGCCACCAGTAACTCTATATGTTACTATTGGAGTAGGCTGGATAAAAATCTCTACAAAATAAAATTGGGAAACTTATATGTAAATCGTGAAAGGGCTTATAGTAATGAATTGCAAATTCCATTTAAATTAATTTGTATTAACTACATTATTTTACAATATTTTGAAATAAGAAATAATGAAATATTGAATGCGGAAATAACATAGGGAAAAAGTAAAACGCCAACATGTATGAGGCTTATAATAAAATGTCCCAGCTATTTTCTTTCACAGATGGTGGCAAAAGCTCCCCCTGGATATTGTGTTGCAAAGGGTTAGTTGCAAAGGATTAATTCTCTGACACCAAAAGATGTTTCTCTAAAACTGCGTTTTTAATTAGTCATTTAAATTGAAGATTCTCTGAAAGGTCATATTATCACATATTAACTTCTAAAG